TATGTGATTAGTAAACCAGTCCAAAGATTCTTTTGGCATAGTTCTGGCTTAGACGGTAAGCGTCACAATGCCCTAGGGCAGGTAGCCTGCATATAATATGAGGGACAGAAAAGAACCTTATTTCTCTCCCTTACTGCTTTTGTTATCTTGTGGGTATCAAGAACTGTTTTCTCTGATGGTCCTCTGCCTTGGAGCCAGGAAACTATGAGCTAAAAACCCCTACAAACCATGAGCTAAAACTAAACCTTTCCTCTCTCAGCTTTGAATACTGGGCATTTTGTCTCAACACAAGAAAAGTAAGAACACACTATCTGAAGTTTGGCTTGGAGTTTGACACATGGCAGAATTGAGATGTAATGGGGCCTTACACTAGTACATCACGCCTCGCTAAATTTTATAAGAGGAGAAATGGTTTCTCACCTCATTCTTCAGGTTAATTTAATGACAAGGACTTTTATATTCTACAATATATACAACGTGTGCATTTTCAAATGGGAACTCTGAACAGTGATTTACATTATTAGCAATAAAGTACCAGACTGAAGGTGGAATATAATGTAGTCATAATTTTAAATACTGTTGAACGAGTTCTCTAGAGACTCTAAACTAAAATTCAATTAGTCATTTTATAAAAACTTGTTAAAAAGTGGAAAAGCAGTTATAATTACAATGAAAGGGAAATGTATTGAGCTGTCAATCCTGGACCCTACTCTCTGATCTAAAACAGAACATGCAGGAAAATGGTCAAATGAATTGGTTTTATACCGTCATAAAAGAGTATTTGACAAATAAGGTCAAAGACGGAAGTATTTGAGATCAAAGAATATCTGGATCCATGCAGCATCACTCACTGTGAGTCTGTGTTACTTGATTATATAACAGATTTTTGAGAAGTAGAAAATTGGTATTAATTTGACAAATGATAGAAAGGAAGACAGAGACAAAATTTTAAAAATCCTTTCTTTTATCAAAACACTGACACATATCCAAAATAAATAGGTGATATCATTTATAAAGAAGTGATATCATTTATAATGATAAAAGCCTAATACTAAAATTATGAAAGGCCTTCTAAATAGATTACAATCAGAACTCAATATGATGCTTATGAAACAGAACTTTCTATTCAATTTTTTAACGAGAAAAATAATATTATTTAAACACTCGACAAAATATTTTAAGGCTTCCATTTCATAAGTTTGTCTTATGAAATCCAAGATGGAAAAACATGGCAGATACAGAGGAGAACACTGCAGTCTGGTAGATTAAAAGGACCCATAGAAATGATATTGTAACATTAGCAATGGAAATACATTGAAATAAGCATAGCTGGGAGCATAGAAGACTACAAAGAATTCTAAGCCAGTTAGCAAAATCTTCCCAAACCAGATAAAAATTCTGTAGAACTAGCAGGAATGGGGAGAGTCTGATGAGTGGATAGGCCGACAGAGAAATGTCTAAACAGAGGTAAGAATACACAGAAAGGCCAAAAATAGCCAAGACCACGTAACCTCATGCGGCTGTGGAGGAGGACCCAGTATGAAGAGTGTGGAACACTGGAAGTTTCCCGTTAGGTAACTTTGACTTTAATCTATAACATTTCAATGATTGCTGTAGCTTCCCAATAGGGACCTTGTGAGCAGCTGTTCTATTGCTTTTTTGTCACTTTGTATTAATGTCTAGGAAGCACAGGGAAGTGCCCTGTTCAGCATCTGACCGCTAGTGATTTCCTCCTGGTCTAAGCCTATCTAGGAAAGCACCATGCAGACCATCAGCGGTATGGCAAAGCCTCCGCTCTCCCACATCCAGTCTCTCCCGCAAGTCACAGCTCCCTGACCTCTACTGCCTCCGTGAGGTTTGCTTACTTTGGGAATTTATGTAAATGGCTACCATAGGTATTCTCCTGTCTGGTTTCACTCCCTCGAGATTACAAAATTCATTCAGTTCCTTGAGAAGAGCAACGTCTGTTCACTGACACTCTTTTGTGATGCTGTGCTATGTAAATTCTGCAGTTAGTTGTCCACTGCACTAGTGATAGGAATTGGGGCTGTTTTCAGCTGTGATATTATAAATGATGACATAAACCCCTCTGCTGCGTCTTTTGGAGAGTACGTGTACTAAGCTCAGCTGGGCTTATGCTACCGAATGGGTTCACCGGTTATTAGATTGTGCAAAGTGCTGGCACAGACTGACACTCTGATCGTAGCACACGAGGTTTCACTTGATCCACTTTCTCACCATGCCTGGAACCATGAGTGCCAGCTTTCCACTAAGTGTGCAACAGTTTCTCACAATAGCTCTTAAACTGCATATCATCGATGACTGCGTTGAAAACATAGCTATACAGTCATGTCTGACCATTAGAAGAATTGGGAAGTACCATTGGGAAGTACCCATTCTTTTGAAACACAGCAGGTCTCTTTAGCCACCATCACTGTCACGTAAAAACAGTAGTGTGTGGGGTTAGGAACTGCCACAGAGCATTTTCAGCAATTTTTGGTAGCACTGTATAGTCTCATGAGAAAAAGTGTTTTATTCTTTGTGCTTCGCTTCTACACATCTTCATTCCTCTTTTATTCTAAACTATTTACTCACTCAGTATTGCTTTGGCACCTCTGATCACCAATCCTTAAAATAATCAATGAAATAAGTCAGTTAACAATGTCCAAGTTCCATCCAGAGTCCAACATTAAGTCTGCATCAGAAAGCTAAGTTCTTAGGGTACAGCTAACTTCTTATGGAGCATAGGACTTTTTTTCTTTCATCTTTGCTGGTACTTTAAGAAAACAAAATAAACACATCTTCCTTTTTATTAAAAAAAAAAGCATTACACATAAAATTTTAATGCAATAAATCTAAACACTTCATTTTGCCAATTTATCGGCAGATAATGTTCACTCAGCACTTTAAAAGATCATAAGGAAAGTGGAGAAAACTGTCATTTGTAAAAAAAAAGATAAAAGGAATATACACGTAAGTGCTCTCTTTCACTTCGCTTCTGACTAAACACAGCTACATTCAGCAAAACTAAAGCACAGTGACCTTTCTCCCTCCTCTGCATGATTAATTACTTAATGCCATACTAATTGGACAGTGTGGATGAATTTCAAACACTTTCACCTTCTATGCATATCATCTTCTACTGTAACAGCGATTAAGCTGCGCATCAAAGGTGAGCCCACAAGGTCACCAGAGCACAAGCTCTTCGGCATTCATCACTCACCATCAGTGCTAATTAACAATGGTAACATTTCCATAAATCAATGTCTTTCTGATTATTCCCTGATGATAAACAGTCAAAATGTGTGCATTACAGCCCAATCTCCTTAATTTCACATGAAAATTCAGTCTAAATATACCACTAAGAAAATTCACGTAAAGTATTACAGTAGTTTCTTTAATTAAGATGCACGAGGGAAATAAGGTTATGTACCTTTGGAAGAAACACACAAAACGAAATGAATCTACTATTAACATAGGGGTCAAACATAAGAAGCAAACGCTTCTTTTCAAGCACCAAGTGCCAATTTATTCTTCAGGAAGCAAATTAAAGTGCAACCCATCCTCAGAAACAACCATTTCTCTACTGGGCCAAGGAAAATGACAATTCAGAAAAAAAAATTTAATTCACTTACATATCAGAGAGTAGACTGACAAAAAGAAAAGACTTTCCAAAGGGTATGTAAACTATATTGATTTACAACCCAAAACTTGCAAATGATCCTCTTAGATTTGAAATGCTTTGTGTGTTTGTGATATGCTATTGTTTATTGATGTTTTTCTTTTTTGAATTCATATTAATTGTCAACTTAAAAGATGCTATTGATATAGTTATTTTGAATCAATCACAAGAACTGACACTTTCATTTCAATTGTTAGGTCTAAAATGGTCATATCTTAAATTTATGATCAGTTTAGGAAAGACTTTCTGAATTTATAGAAAAGTTATCAATAATCTTATGTCTTCAACATAAAATATTAAAATACATTTTAAAACATAATTCATTAGTAATATAAATTCAGCACATCAATTATGATTATACATTCTAATAAAATAATATTTAAAATCTTATCAATTATAAGATTATACATTCTGATAACAACATAAGTCTTCTACACAATTACTACGACACAATTGTGTTCTATATTTATTTGCTTGTTAGTTTTATTCTAAGCATTGAAACCAAAAAATAGTTCTTTTTAGTACTGCATTTAAAATTCCTATTTACATTGTAATTTTTACTATTTAACAGTTATCGCTAAATGCAGTAAACAGAATTAGTTCCAAACTAATACATAGGATACCACAAATACTAACCTAGTATCAGAGAAAATGGTATGTATATATTGATATGTTAGTTTATTTTTCACAAGTAAGAGAAAATAGAAATGAAACTGTGGTAAACAATTAGAAAATATATTTACTCATGAATTCCAAAGCCAAAGGTTAGGACAGGCTCTAACTAAGCAATGAACAGGTCTCAGCTCCACTGCTAACTCTCATCTCCTGAACGCCCTTCCTCCTAGGCATGGCCATGCGCATGACTAGAGGAAGGAGAGACCATGATACAAAAGTCCTTCCCCTCAGTCCTTGGACCAAATGTGTTATTTAATTGAGTAGGTATTAAGTGAGCTAATCTCATAATTAGGATGTCTAAAATAGATTTTATTTCTTCAATGGGGGGAGAGTTGCTCATCATGATCATCTTTTACTAAGTAGAAAAAACCACTAATATATAATATAGAATCATAATTTGCTAAGTCATAGTTAACTATAGTATAACGAGAATTCTTGAAAAACACAAGCTAGAAGGTTATCAAGGGAGAGACAAAGAGTCCTAGTTTTAAGACCCACAGATGGGGTGAACACTCTAATACATTAGCTTATTTTAACAAATTTGTTATATTCTATATTAGTATATCCTATCATCTCTAAAACCAGAAAGGGCAACATGTCCTGTGGCTCCCTCCTCGACCCTGAGGAAAGCCACGCTTCTCACCTTGGGGCATTTCTGGAGGCAGATAATGAGGTTCTTGGGCGCTGACATGAACCCACTCAAAGTCATCGTAGAGGTCCTGGTGGTAATCACAGGCCCCAGGCCCATCCTCAAAAGTGCAGCCACCTGAAAAGGAGAAAGAGAACCATTCTTACCATCAAGATACATTTTTGAAGAGTAGGGAAAATATTAGTGCAGTAGATATGGTATTGAAATATAATTTTAATAGCCAATGGTATTCCTGTTTCTCATGATTCTGTTTAAATTTTCACATAAAAAGAAATACATATCAGCGTATTCTGTTTGAATAAGAAACCAGTTTGAGCCTCAGAAGGAAGGCTGAAGCACTGATGCTGAATTATTAACAAAAGAAGTAGAAGATATGCAAGATGTGAGGCTTTCCTAAAAAATATTTAAAGCAGCCAGGATCTAAAGAGTTTTTACCATTTTATTAGAGACAGGAAGAGGAAGAATGAAAACAGCTTTGTAATTCTGCTTCCCAAAAAATGAAACTAATGTTGAAGTCTTAACAAAACCATTACCATGAAAGGACCTAGGAAGGTTACACAGGGTAACAAAAGAATCATAGAACTTTACAGAGTGTAAAGAGGTGCAAGGCTGGGATATGCTCTTCCATACTCTATGTTTTTATTAAGTTCACTGGTACACTTCAGGTTTACATAATGATCATATTCACCATCGAGAATTTGTACCAATGAAGTTACTTTCACACACAAATATGATTTAAGCACAGAATCAATCAAATTAGCCTCTAATCACACCTACTACTTCATTTAATAATCTGCTTTATAAAACAGAAATCGTCTTGCCTCCTTTTTCTATCAGTCACTATTTTTTCTTTCTGGTTTTATTTTCAGAGGTAATTATATGATAGAAACAGAATGATACCTTTGTTTTCTATTCCACAGGTTCAGGCACACCTCAGCCAAAGTATTTAGTTTATTCAAATGATGAAAATTAGAACTGGCCTGTCTGTCTGATCTTGAAAGAAAATGGATTACAACTAATGAAAACCCAGCAGTGGCTTTAATGAGAAAAACCAATAACCTGTCTTCCTTTCAAGTAGCTATTTGTTTAGTTTCCATGGGGATCCGCATGGAGAAACTCTGTGAGTTCTCTGAAATAACAAGCAAAAGTGTGGCAAACTTCAGGCCTTTCTATTTCTGTCACTCTTAGCATCAAAAGTTTGTCAGTCTGAATATGTGCGAGAGTCACATTGGGTCCAGTGACACAGAGAAGCTGGTATCAAACCAAAACAGTGCATCAGAGGCTTCTGGAGGACAACCTGACCCTAAAATCTTTTTCAAAAGCAAACGTATGTATCCTTGAACCCCTATTACGACTACACAGTTCCTTTAAAATAACCCAAACTTCAGCAGTTGGAAAACTTCATATTGTTTTTAAGTGTGCTCAAAATATTCTTTTTATAAATGTGCTCAGGAAAAGATGATTTTTTTAAAATTTAAAAATAATAAAAAGATGTTGCTAGGAAATGCAGAGCAAGGGAAGTTTTTCTCAAAAATACGATTTGCTGTCACAACCCTACCATGACTTACTACACATCCCGTGGGGGTTCCCGCCACCGTTTATCCTGGGGCACGTGTACTCTGTATACAAATTCAACTCACAGTGGACTCACACAGACTCATCTCGGACGCCAATAGCTTTAAACTGCTGTCCTTCATGCCCACTGCTAATCTTAGACTGCAGAATCCTGGTTAACAATACAAACAAAGAGTAACTGTATAGAATTAATAGGATCAGGGTGACATCAGAGGCACATCAGAAACGCTGTGTCAAAAGCATCTTGAAAAATCATAGTGGTCTCCCTCATTTGAGTGATAAAAATAAAACTATTAAAGGTGAATTTTAAACGTCAGTTTATAATATATTCCAATATATAAGAGATGCCACATACCTATTTACAACATGGATACCATATTTATAAATCATTGGTAAAAGAATGTTATGAGTATTTTTATAATGGATTTTTGTTTCAGTAAACTTTTATACAGTATAAGTGGATAAGATGGTAAGAAATAGAAAAGTTAATAATCCTGGGCTGATGAAAGATACAGTGTGTTGTAAGAGATAACAATACGATCAAAATTCCAAAGAACTCAAAAGAACTGGCTCCTTGCACAGGGTTGGTTTTGAAAGACTTCACTGAATTATGCCTAATGAAGATGATTAAGGAAGTGTCAATCTTGAGACCATACGGGTAAGTGAAATAAATCAGACATACAAGCTTAAATACCTCACGGTTCCTCTTCTACGTGAAACCCGAAGTATAAATAAAGAGCAAAATGAAAGGTTTGGTAACAGGAAATGGGGAGAGAGACTGTCTGCAGAAGGGAAGAGAACCAGGAAACAGGGAAGGGTGAAGAGAGGGACAGGGGGCATAGGAAGCACTGAGGTGCTTTATGTCCCTGTGCCAGCTCGCTATGATGGAAATATTCTGGACTGCAAACCTGTACTAATAAAAAACAAAAATCTAAAAAGGAATGTGGGCGGAGCCTGGTGGCTCATGCCTGTAATCCCAGCACTCAGGGAGGCTGAGGCAAGGAAATCACTGCAAGTTCAAGACCAGCCTGGGCTACAAAATGAATTTAAGGCCAGCAGGGGCTGGGGATTTAGCTCAGCAGCATAAGCGCCTGCCTTGCAAGCAGGCAGTCGTGAGTTCGATCTCCGGTACTGATAAAAAGGAAAAAGACAAACAAAATAAAAAATTTTAAAAAAAAGAATTTAAGGCCAGCTTAAACTGCATGGTGAGACTTGTATCAAAAAGACAAAACTTAAAACATACCAAAAAAAGATAGAAAGGAATGTACTAAGAAAATCCAGAAAAAAGACAGTTTTGAATCAGGAGAAAGGCCAAATCGAAGTCACGCAGGTCTAAATGAACATGGCAAGCGAGAGAATCTCAGTGATTCCATACAGTGAACAAGAAACGTGAGGAGCGGGAAAGGCAGAAACAAAACCAGTTGTTAGCTGCTTTAAGTTTCATAAAAAAAGGAGCTTAAATTTATTCAACTGTCTTGAAACCATGAAACGATTTCAATCAGGAATATGACAACTCAAGTCCATTTAAATAATGTTACCGCAGGCTGCCATGTACAGTAGAAGTAAAATGGTAAAAACGTATCGTGAGGCAATTCGATGACACGCTATTCCTGTGGACCATTTATGTTTTCCTAGAGAGCTTAAACACAATCCTTTGTGATACAGGGTCCTCTATGCATGTGTTCTTGAGAACACATCTAAAAGGGAAATGGGACATGTCATGGCAAGACTGTAATTCACCTGAGTTTTAAGGTTCATTAAGCCAGGCGACAGAACAGAGGCTGCAAAACCAACCTGGTGTGCACGAATTCAGTTAGGCAGAGGGGAGGAAACAGGCACGAGCAAACAACTTCCATTTTCAGTTGTTATATTGGCCACCAGCAAGACCACTACAAATGAGCAGCTGCAAATCGGGTCAGAGAAATGGGCACCACAGTTTCTGAGCCTGGAGGACAATTATTCCTAAGACAAGTTCACAGATTGCGAATCCCTCTCCACCAATCAGGCCGCAGACCGCAGCTCCCACACAATGATGGGCTTCCCCATGCCAAGTCACTTGAGGGCCTTTGCGAGCTGTTCACTGACAGCAAACAGCAGGCCAAGGAGACTTGCTGGAAACCCTGTCCATCCCTAAGCAGCTTAGTGAAAGGACCATACAAGGAAAACTCAGTACCCGCGCATGCTAAAAAAGTCACCGGGGGCCCAAAACCTGCATTGTGTAAATATCTAACATTTGGAAAGATATTTAATAGATACTCAAACAGAAGGTGGTAGCTCTGGAGAAAACACACAAATAAACTTTCTATAATAACATAAGAAAATGAAGAATATGAAAATTCAAATCTTTGAAGTCAATGAACTTGTCAATAAATTCCAGAGTCAGGTGAATTTAAACAACACTGAACTAGAAAAAAATGAAGTCATCCAGGCCCTGAAGAGGTCCACACGTTTGGATGAGACTCCCATTTCAAACACAGAATCTGCCCAAGCAATGTATGCACACTTCAGGAACAGAAAAGTTTGTATAAGGTGCACATTCTCCTGATTTAACACCCCTAGGCTTTTATCTACGGGAGACTCTAAATGGTGTCAGATGTCACAGAAAACTCACTACACAGCAGGCCCTTCCAGGAGATAATCAAAACCTACTGGACACTCTGATCAAGGTTACCCAAGCAGCGTTCACCATACTAACCAACATCTAGAAGCTCACGGCCATTGCTCTGGGCACCTCTTCTAATGCAGAAACTCACAGTGACTTGTATGAATTTCACGGTGTCTCAATAAATGTTGTGTTAAAATACTTTATACAAGTTTTTTCTTTTCTTGAAGTGTGTACACATCTTCTGTTTGTTTGTCTTTTGGTTTTTGGTTTTTGGTTTTTGGGGGTATTTTTAGTGAGCTCTGTATATTGTCCTAGGATCTCCGGCCTTCTCCTCTCTAATGCATTTACCCACTCATAATTTTATGACTTACTGTAACAGTGAGAAATGGATTATCTTTCATGCTTATTTACTGCTGAAAACAAGTTCCATTTCCTAAGGAAATAGAAAGTTTTCTCATTTCTTTATACAAAGTTTAAGAAGAAGCCGAGAATAGCTGTATATCCCTGTAATTCCAGCACTGTGAGAGGCTGAGGCAGGAGATTACAAGTCCATGTCTGGCATGGGTAACTTGGCAAGATCCTATCCCAAAATAAAGAGAAATTAACGAACTCACAAGATAGCTCAGTGGGTTCCATTTCTAGGACCACATAAAGAAGACTTTGGAGAAAATATGTCAACAAATACAATATCATAGTTGCTTGACGATAACTCTTAAAAATGGGCAAGTTGGGCCAGGAGTTTAGGTCAGTGGCGTAAATGCCTGCTTGGCAAACGCGATATCTTGAGTTTAATCCCCAGTATCTAAATAAATAAATAAATAAATAAAATGGGCAAGTTAACCTCCAATTTTTAGTTAATCCATAACATACAAAATTGCCCATTCAAATTTGGAATCATCTTTAACTGTACTAATGAGAAATCCTAAGTTAAATTTAC